CGGTATGTCTTGGCATGCAGCGAACATCGTTGATTTGTATTCGTAAGATAGACACATAAGATAACAACAGACACCTTAAATGGCTGACTTGAGTCGCTCGGCCGAGCTGAGAAATCGAACGACAGCAAGACGTCGACCGCCCGCTGTGGCCGCAGCAGTAGCGGGTAGGGCGAGTTGAAAGTAAGTCCGCTATCGACTAGAAATAACAGCTTCTCCTCTGTCTTCAGGGCTTCATGAATGCACTTGAAGACGGCTGAAAAATAACGTAATTTAGCGATTCAGAGAGAAATTCACGAGCTCTGATAATCTGATAGATGATAATATAAGCGTGAATATATCATAGAAATATCGCTATTATATATTCGCTATCATTATTAGTATCATGAGTCTATCAATAGATTGATAGACTCCTGTTATTATATATTATGTATTCGCTATCATTCTAATTTTTTAATCATTGTTCCATCAGTTCATCATTTAACGAACCCGAAATATTTCTGCAAAGCTTCACGACAACGTCGTTTATAATTCGCAGAGCTAAATAGAAAATATCACGTAAAAAATGGGGATTAATGATTTATAGTTTCAATACTAACGCGACGTGCTTTGAGTTAACTCCGCGGGCGTGAAAGGCGAGTAAGGAAACAGTTGAGTCAGCGATAGCCCTCGCATGAAGTTATGCACCATCCCGGCTCTCCCTGTTCTCGATCTCAACAAGGGAACGCCACTGCTGGTGAACACCGCCGCCAGGGCGTTCTTCCAGATGCTCTCCTTCTTCTCGCGCCTGTTCAGAGCGCCATCTAGCGTCGCTGTCTCCCGCTCGTCATCGTCAGTGTCCGACTCGCCGCCGCTGTCATTGTCGCTGCGGTCGCTTGCCTCCGCAGCGAGTCGGCTCGCCTCTACAGTATTGTAATCACATCAGATTTTATACTGCTATATAGAGTACAATAATAACAACCCCAAATAAATAATAAAAACCAGGTCTCGTCCTATTACATCATAGGACATGAAAGGTAGGTCAGGGGTAACACATGAATGGTGCGCCTGATTTAATAATAATATTAATAATAATAATAATAATAATAATAATAATAATAATAATAATAATAATAATAATAATAATAATAATAATAATAGTGTACTAGTGCATCAGGTGTAGTGCTATAAAAAAAAAGTTTTCCCAGCATTTAGTGTGAGCTACAAGAAGTTTTATACATCCTATTAATCGTATATGATTTAATTTCTGTAAACTTCTGCCTAATTACCATGCTAATTACCAAGCTAATTACCAAGCTCCTGGCGCATGATCTCCACTGGGTCCATCTTTCGAGATTTATCATCTCTCAGTAAACGCTTGAAGAGTATGCAGAACGCGCTTCCCCACAAACCTTACGTAAGAGCAGGCAAGAATCACAACACAACATTAACAACAAGAAGCACAACGATGTATATATGCACAACATTGGGTCCTAGCTCTTAGAACGCAACAAAAAATGCAGTTGTCAGACCGACTGAGTGGGTGTTTCCGATGATTATCGGCAAATCTTTACAAATACGGACAATGTACGTTCGACTACCTTGCAGGAAGTGGAGCGGGGATTCCGGATATTGTCGGACCACGCAACCCATGAAAAACTTGCTACCGAACAGCTTTGTGCTCATAAATGTGCCATACTTGGCCATGCCGACTTCATACGGCGAAAATTCTAGCCATTCTGAAAGCGAATAGGTTTAGACATTGAAAAATAACGCGTAACGATTACAACAAAGCCAGATTACTATTACCTCACGTATATAATAGCCCTTCCCGTGGTTCTTGAATGCTAATCTAAGCAGATATACATATACATAATAAATAATCGAGGTTTTGTTTTTACGTGAATACAAAGCGATATATAAAACCATCTCCGGTTACCGCGTTAAACGGACACGACATTGATAGCAGTAGTTTTCGTAGATTATATGCCATCAACTATTCCTATAAACTTGATGACTTCCTTTCTCTTCTTAAAATGTTTTCGACCATTACGTTCATGACTCGACTGCTGCTGTCCTCGCCAAGTGTTTATCTCTCTCCCGCCAAAAACTTTATTCAGGCTTCTATCACGTAAGGTTGCAGGAGAAAATTTGTGAGCATATGCATGGCAATTATTATTATAGGCGTAGCAAGGTATAGTTATTTATAATTATGACAGGGGATAGTATTTTATTTACCATGGAATAGCATCGCAGACACGGATTTCTTCACATGAAGACAAGTGTACAGCGGCATCGGTACGTCGCCATCTTTAATTCGCTCCACTTGATCGGACAGCTTCACGTTCATTCTCTGAAAACACGTACGCACAGACACAATCGTAGTCTCATCTCTCACATGACCACTTGCCAGGTGGAATGGCGGTTACACCCCATCTTATCAAATATTAAATGATAATATAATCTAGTCACCTCCTTGATTGATGCATGAGCTTGCCACAATATGGCCGCTTTTGCCCTGCCATTCTCGTGGGTATAAATACTCGTGGGTATAAATACTTGGCTAGAGTTTTACAATGTTAATAGATTTTGTTTTCAAAGATAGGATTTACGTAAATCCCAATGTTTATATATATATATGCATATATATTATATATATATATATATATATATATATACGTAAGATAATAATTAGCATTAGTTTATGTTAATATTAATTTGTCTTTACACAGGTTAACAACGTAAGTTGAAAACCTTGCTGCAACCTGAATTAGGGAAAGCGAATTGGCGCGCCTGACCCAACACTCAGCGCACGGAATAGTCCGGTTGCCAAATGACTAAACGTTGCAATCGGGCATATACACGTTTTTTGTGGTTTCTTGATCTTTAGACTATCCTGAACCAGAATCCACATTTTTATCACCAAAAATGCAGATCGTATATTTTCGCATTTGAGCGCGTATGTATTAAGAGGGTAGGCATGCTAAACTTGCAAAATTTTTAAAAAATTGCCCAAGGGTGCCAAAGTGGCACTCGATGGATTCTAGTTCAGAATGGTATAAAGATCAGGAAGCCACAGAAAAACCGTGTATATACCCGATTGCAACGTTCAGTCAAATTTCCCTACTCGGCAACTCAACTAGAATGCAGCAGCGGTTAAAAAGATGCGTGTATTATTTAGAAGTAGCGGGAAGATGTCAAGATTGACCGCCCCTCTCATCTTGGCGTAATTCACACCGCAGTTAAAATTTAATCCGTTGGCAAGTGAACGCTCAGGCAGACAGCTAGGCTAGACTCACCGCCTTTGCTGTGCACACGCGTCAAAGAATTTGTAAACGGAGGAAGGGGGGCATGTAAACGCATTCGCATCAGTGGCGTTGCACTCATTAGACTTCATTCCTTCTGCTTCATCAGAATCCGGTGGGTGGGTGGGTGTGGGCGGGGAGGGGGTTGTCAGCTTACGGATGTAGACCTTACCGGTGAATCAACAGCACATATATATTAGCATCGCACATTATATACATTCCTATACGCGTATATACATATAGTCGCTATAAGGGTGCCATCTCTACGAACCGCTGTATGCGCAGATCCGTCTCCACCAGTATACGCAGTGTGTACAGCAGCCTTCTTACAGTCATGCGCCTGACTCCTAACTATGCGTATTTGTAGCAGGGCGTAGAGGCAATGATATATGCTGATGTGTAGGTATACCCTCCAAGGTCGTAGCTAGCGTGTGACAAGGGGGCGGTTGCGCTTCCCGACAAATGTAGCTGGCCAATGGTCAATGGCCAAAGACGAGCTGCCAACGGTTGACTGCCCAGAACACAAAGCAAGCGTGGTTTTGCGACACCCACCCCCCCTAGGTAAAATAAATTACGCACGCTCCTGCCCTTACATCCATGAAATGACAACCCGTACACATTTGTTGGCTGTTATATAAATATGTTAAATGAATTAAAGGTTTACGTCTTTCAGCAGTGTCTCTCCCACCAGGTGACCAAAAAAATCGGTGAAGCTGATTGGCTGACCCTGCATGCGCTTCCTGACGATTGTGTCGACATATCTCGTCATGCTACCAATCGTCAGCAGCTCGCTGACCTTGGAATCAATGTTTGACCTCAACTCGTCCTGCAGCGCCCCTGGTGGCGTCCCCGGCCAGGCCGGATGCGAGTATAGCGTGGACATGTACCTGTGTAAGAATAACACCGGAATCTAGACTGAACCTAGTGACGACACCTGGATGGGCCTACCTTTATAGTAACACCTGAATGGATTGCTTTTATAATTACACCTGAATGGGCATACCTGTATGGTAACACCTGAATGGATTTCTTCTATAATTATACCTGAATGGGATTACCTTTATAGTAACACCTGAATGGATTCCCTTTATAATTACACCTGAATGGGATTACCTTTATAGTAACACCTGAATGGAATCCATCTATAGTTACACCTGAATGGGATTACCTTTATGGTAACACCTGAATGGATTGCCTCTATAGTTACACCTGGAATGGGATTACCTTTATAGTAACACCTGAATGGAATCCATCTATAGTTACACCTGAATGGGATTACCTTTATGGTAACACTTTAATGGGTTTACCTGTATTCTAACACCTGAATATATTTATCTGAGTTATAACACCTGAGTGGCTTCACCCGTGTAACTGACTGGCAACCTAAATAGGTTCACATGTGTGATAATACCAGGAGTGAATAATAATAATAATAATAATACATAATAATAATAATAATAATACATAATCTATTATGGGATATTATATTTATTATATGTTATTAAATGTGATATTTTTTATTCTTATCGCTATGTTGCATTTTAATTGTAAAAATTTTTGACTAAGGATCACGTTATTTTAAATATTGTATATATATTCTTAAAGATGATTTTAGGTGTTGTGATATAATTTTATGAACAATGTTTTAAGTGATATCAATGTTTTGCCATGGGACATATATTATTGTAAATATTAAATCATTTCAGTTTTATACTGCCTGATGATATCGTGTTTGCAAAACTTATTTTAATTGTAACGTTTAATTACTATAGCCTTGCAATAAACGTATTATCTATCTATCTTTCTATTATTATTCACTCCTGATAATACCTTACTGGGTTGAGCCAGTGAAACGCCTCTGAAATGCTTTCACCGTGCGATACACTTGTGTTTAGGCTGAATATACCCGTGTAGTAACACTTAAAAGTATTTTAGCTACAGACAATAGAATGATTATTTAACTATAGTCATGATAGACTATTAAATGAATCAGATATATATTGTAGCTTGGCATTCGTGACGTCACCGTCTACGACATGACATCAGACGATTGGCCAGTCGCTTCTGTAAAACTCTCATCGAATACTACCGTTTGAAAAGGCAACAACGTGTTGAAACTGAATCTGCGTTATTTTACTATCATGACCTATTCACGATTTATCAATGATCATTGATGAGCCGCCGACGTGCTAACGGGTTTCTACGAAGGCCGTGGCTTCGCGTCCGGTTACCGGACGCCCAGCTCCCAGGCTACGCGTCCGGTCATATATGTCTTATGTGGGCCCAACTATATTTTTTTCAGTAAAAAACAATAAACAATCAGTTTTTACCATAATATTACTTAAAGTATTTTATAAAAAAAATATGTTTTTGTCACTTTTGAAGCAACAGTAAATCCAGTAAAATCAACGATTTGAAAAGGGGCGTGGCCTAATCGTGACGTGGATTTGGGAATCTGTGCTGAGCTTTGTAATGGATGACCGGACGCGTAGCCACTGCGTTCTATGAAATACGACAGTAGCAGGCGATTTCTGAGTAGGAAGAGTTGTTCATTACCATGACGACCCGGACAGGCCGGCAGCATACGTGGTTACGCCGAGTATTCCGCATTCGGTGAGAGCGTCGAACACTCCACTGAAGGCAACCATTGCTCTGAAGCCGCCCCCTGATCCGAGCACAGCCACAGTGGGAGCCTGAAACATGATTACACCACGAGTGAATAATAATAGTTTCTATTAATTCTATTATTCTATAGATTCTATATAATCGATTATTATTCCCTCCTGATTACATGCACACACACGGCCACGTCTGCAACAGCCGTGTGCTTGTGTCAATGTCACCGTGCGTGCGTGCGTGTGCGTGCGTGCGCGTGCGTGCGTGCTTGTATGCCTTCTTGCGTCTACCTAAGTGCGGAATGCGTAGAATCGTTAACTACCTGATGTATACTTGTAGGCGCGCGTTCGCCTAAAAATGTCTGCATGTTCTCAAATACTTTTTCTCTTCGCGCCTCGAGAAACTCCTTTTCTTCGTCGCACAATGCAAGACTGAATCTCAAGTCTGGTTTCCTAAACAATAAAAATACGGATATATAAGAGATCAGGAATAATAAAAATCATAAATAATTAGAATAATGCGGGTATTCCTATATAAAAATAGTTTCCTACTTTTAGGAATAATTATATATCGATGAGTTAAACCGTCGTTTAATCTTATTGGTCGTAATAGTCGGTAAATTTATGATATTGATGTACGGGAGAACTTACGCAATCTCTAGTGAGAAATCAAATTCGACCTGAGATGTCTGCAATAAATTACACATAAATTAATTAAGTCGTCGACATTAGAATATATATATATATATTGTGTGTATAGAATAAACTTCATAAAATACGATCTAAAGGTAGCTTCTAATAAATGGAGAATCATCATGTTATCAAAGGTATATAAACTATCAACCAACTAAATAAAACTAATACATAAACTGGCATAGATAACTGGAATTCTATTCTACTTCCATGAATCAAACGGCGTTTGACTTGTCCGTACCTCGAAAAAATTCAACATCACGGTCTTTGTTTGTCCAACGTTTAAATGTTCGTAGATTGCGAAAATCTGTTCGCCAAGACGCTCATCCACAGTATAATTCGCATCCATCAACTTTATCTCTAGAAGAGGCAATTAAAAACGTAACAATACAACCTCCAGCACGCAAAATTGGCGCTCACGTGCTCAAATAGCAATATATATATATATATATATATATATATACCTTCATATACCCACATGTGTGTATGTGTAATAGTTTTTTATAGTGACATAATGTCAAGAAGATGATACTTCACAGATAATTACTTACGTGAATTCAAACGTAAGCCTATAGTCTCAACCTTAAACCTAACCTTTACGTTAACCCTAACCCTAATCCTAATCCTATCTCTAACACTAACCCTAACCCTAACCCGCGTGTGCCACGTACTCATAATGCTGTTGCGATCCACATCAAAAAGAAACGTCAACGTCTCGTTCCATACCGGATTTGCCTCATTATCTATCGTCGCCGTACGCTGGTAATGTTCCGCAGAGCCCGCCAGGTAGCACACTACGTAGGGATCCGGTGTGTCGACTTTCAACGTGAAAGAAAAAACAATGCGTTCGATAATGAAATTGGGATTTAATAGTACACGGTATTACCGGGATATTAATTCAAATTTCATTTTGAAATAATTTTTATATTATAATATATTATAATATAATTTAAATGTATATATAAATTTATATAGATATATCTATCTATATATATATATATATATATATATATATAACCTCACGTTTGTCTCCCCAATAACCCTTGGTGATGTTTATTCCTCGTTTCACTTTAACGACGATCTTCATACATGCCTTGTGTGAAACCTGCAAACAATCATACGTTATTATATATAGCGTTTGTCAACTAAAACCCACAATATACTCTATCCGTACGTATGTACTTTAAGTCGTCCATGTATGCACGCACGCACGTACGCACGCACGCACGCATGCACACATACACAAACACTCACAAACTCACACAAAAACTAGCACACAAACGCACATGTTTTTTTATTTACTTGTTTACTTATATTATTTACTCTTACTTATAATATACCGATATTTTTTCTAATATATATATATATATATAACATGCAACTGTTTAGAAAATATCAGGTCATACAATCAACGTCATACAACCCTATTTTTAGTTAAGAAACTGCACCATGTCAGAGCTGCTACACTAGCCCTGTGTCAACTAACTACAGTGGTCGAGCAGACCACTTGTTGTCATTCGACCTACCTCGAAGATTTGATACGGATCGAACCTGCAAATGAACGCAGAGAACGGGCCATTAAAATTTAATTTCGGATGATCATTGTTTAATTTGCGAACATAATTACCGAGTGGGTAACTTGAGATTGTTTACACACGCGATTAAATAAGGTCTTGCAGATGATGTAATTGCTTTATGTGCTTACGTCTCCTTAGAGAACTGTCTCTTGCGATGCGACATGTTGGCTCGGTGCAGTTGAATCGGTAATCGATATCAATTAGAAGTTCAGCAGCATTCTGGGAATGATATAAATAAGTATATAAATATTACCAGATAACAATATAATACAATTCACACCTCACAGTTTGTATAACACTATTTTTTTTTAACGATTCTTATGTTATCTAGGACGTTTGTGTAATTGAAGCGAGACAAAACATGACACTGACATCTTTGCTATATTTCTCGTGAACCAATTAAGAATAATGAGACTCTAAAGTGAGTAAAATTGTGATCTATGTATGTTAGCTTGACGAAGGACAGATGTTCTACAGATATCTCTGATGCGAACGTAGGCCTTAAAATACAGGTATCGCAACTGTTTCAGTGTTCTAATTGATATCGTGATATCGCACACCTACCCTACGTTTCTTTTTATTTTGGCTATTTTATTTAGTCATGCTGTGGCTACATGAAAATATGGTTATGGTATATGAAAGGTTATACTCAATGTGATGTTCACATACGAGGAGCCATAAACAAGTGTGAGAGAGAGACAGAGCTACAGGGAGAAAGAAGAATGAAAGAAACAAAGAAAAGGATGAAAAAGAAAGTAAGAAAGACGAAAGGTAAGACGGAAGTAAGGAAGGAAGGAAAGCAGAAATGAAAAGAATGAAAGAAAGAAAAGTAAGGAAAATTAGCGAGAGCGAGGAGCCGAGAGGGAGAGAGAGCGCGCGCTAGAGCGGGAGATACACACACACAACGAGAGGGAGGAGGTGAGAGCGGTGCAAAAAGAGAAGGAGCGACAGATAGAGCAATGGAAAGAGAACGAAAGGAAGACACAAAGAAGGAGAGGGAGTAATGAAGTCGGAAACATAGTTAGCTCTTGTTTTGTGGCGCACCATCACGGTATTACAACACCTGTCAGCGCTCCTCCCGCATGTTTGTCGCCCACTCCGCCCAGCCGCTTGTGTTACACACTCACATCCGTCAACATCTGTGAATTAATTACAGCGCGAACAAGATGGCGCCCAACGGTGTCGCATATCGTGAGAACGTCGCTGGCAGCTAAATGATACACGCGCTCACCTACCATCGTCACATGTACTTATACTGCAAGAGGGAATTGCCAGTTGCCGGCATATTTATTGCTGAATATTGTAGATTTTTACTATAATATGGAATATAGTGTTGCGAGCATTACATTATAGACGGAGTTCTATTGGTATTGATGAAACTAAAATTACTCTCACGTCACGTTGCATATTATACGTAGATCTACGATATATATTATTATATATAGTGTGTGTGTGTGTGTGTGTGTTGTGTGTGTTTTGGTGTGTTGTTTGTGTGGTGTGTGTGGTGGTTGTGTGTGTGTGTGTGTGTAGTGTGCGTTTTGGTGTGTTGTTTG